CTACATAATACAAAGTCAAAATACAATAACTTTTTAAAGCATAAGGGTTTTTTTTTTTTTTTCCACCCAGGAAGATACCCTAAGCTAGCAGGACAAATCCATGAATAACAGGAATCTGAGTAATTCTTCTGTACCCATTCTTAGTGTGTGACTCCCAGATCTGACTTCTCACACTGTGTCAGATAGCTGCTGGTGTTCTAGCCATCAGGTTCCTATTCCAAGGAGAAAGGCCAGGTGTCTTAGTTGGGATTACTATTACTGTAATAAAACAACATAACCAAAGCAACTGGGGAAGAAATGGGATTGTTTGCTTAGACTATGGGGATTGTCTTGAGTGCCTTAATTGTCTTGAGAGCCTGAAATTGGGGGCATTGTCCTCTGGTTTGGGGCCCTGGCCCATATAAAAGTAGAGAACGCTAGATGAGTACTAACCTCTGCATACATGTCTCTCTGCTCTTGACTGTCTGTGGATTAATAGCTGCTTCGAGTTCCTGTCTGCCTGCAAGAAAATGCACTGTAAACTGTGAGATAAAAGTAATTTGCTTTGACAGGCAGTAATGTTGAGTACCTTTAATCCCTGGCGCTCGGAAGGCAGAGGCAGGTGGGTCTCTGAGTTCAAGGCCAGCCTGGTCTAATGAATGAGTTCCAGGATAGCCAAATCTACACAAAGAAACCCTGTCTTAAAGAAATAATAATAACCGTTGCTCTTTTGGTATTTATCATACTAACAGAAATGGATCTGAAACAGATTTTTGTCACCACAGGTCTGGTTTGGTCCTGTGGTGGCAAACACATTTTAATGACACTTTTGAATGACTCAATGATGAGAATCTATCCTATGTGTCTTAGTTAGGGTTTCTGTTGCTGTGAAGAGACACCATGACCACAACAACTCTTATAAGGAAAACATTTAACTGAAGGGGATCACTTACAGTTTCAGAGGTTCAGTCCATTATCATCATGGCAGGGCATGGCAGTGTGCAGGTAGGAGTAGCTGAGTCCTACATCTTGCAGGCAACAGGAAATGGACTGAGACACTGGATGATATCCTGAGCATAGGAAACCTCAAAGCCCACCTCTACAGTGACACGTGTCCTCCAACAAGGCAAGGCCACATCTCCTAATGGTGCCACTCCCTATGAGATTATGGGTCTTCTTCATTTTACTCTCTCTTCTCTGTCCCATCACCCCACCTCTCTGATTCCGGGCTAAGCCCTTGCTGACTTTGACATTTTTTTCATGACCTGTTGGGTCTCTGTGCTGCTGCCCTTGCACGTGGCCCTGCCCCAGCTCCTGCCTATCACCACAAAGCCTGTCATTCTCCAAGGCCTTGTTTTACAGACACTGACTCCAAAAGTTCTGACCTAACTGCTCCTGCCTGTCTCACCTGTATTCTTCTAGGTCTGGATTCCACGTTGGGCCAGATCAAGGGCTCCAACTTCAGATCTCCCCAGTCCAGTGTCTACACCACGGGGTTCTCATCCTTCAGCTTGAGTGACAAGTGGGGTTGCCCTCTAAGTCTTTCATTCAGCAAACAAATGTTTGCTGTCTGATGAAGGTGCCCAGCTTTCTCCCTGTAAGCCTTTCTGTCTGCAGAGCTCTTATTCTCAGATCCTTCATGCTTGGTACTGGATGGTCTTCCAAGACTGTAGGACTCACTGGTGTGATACAGTTCATCAGACTGGCCTTTGAGTCCCTGACCTGGAATGGGGAATGATGGAGGGAAGACAGCATGGACTCGAGTGCATCACTACATACAGGCTCTGAGCATAGACTGCATGTGGTCTACAGGCTACTGAAGAAAAAGAGTTCACTCACCACCTGACCTGATCTGTGGACAGTACGTGATTAGGAGGAAAGACCCCCTGCCACCCAGGAGAGGGCAGGAAATCAGCCCTCCCTCCAGGTGCCTTGGAACATTTGTTGTTCCTCATGTCTTTGATGTCTGTTCCCTGGCCAGAGTCTTACCAGCTGCTCAAGAACTGCATACACACAGGCACCCTTGCTGGCTGGGAGACCTCAAACTAAGAAAAACACCCCTGGGTCCAAAATCTCACAAACATGCAGGTACCCCACTAACTCTGAAACATCACACCACAGAGGTACTTGGATGGCTAGGGGACCTCACACTACAGAAAAACACCCCCTGAACCTTAAAAACCACACAGGTAGCTCAGAAATCTCACACTACAGAGATACACTGACTTAGAGCCCTCATACTGTATAGAGATGCCACACTGGTTTAGTGACATCACACCACAGGTACGCTTACAGGCTCAGAGACCTCACACTATAGAGGTTGAGACCAGCATAAGGACAAGGAAAATGTCACCCTGTAAGCAGAGACAGAACTATGGCCCAGTGCCCCAACTCCCACCCAAACCTTTTTGAGATCACAGGGCTTTACCAGAGGCATCCACAATGGATCTAGAGATGTCAATACTTTCACAGCAGAAGCTGAGCAAAAAAAGGTACTTAGAAGATCAAATTGTCTGCCATCTGAGTTTCTTCTTGGTCTCAGGTTCTGCTTCTTAGAAAGGCAGTGGTTTATGTGTGTCTCACAGTTGCCTGATCGACTGCAGAACCAGCTCTGTTGTAGTGGTCTTGTTTGTTTGTTTTGTTTTGTTGTTTCTTCAAGACAGGGTCTGTAGAGTAGACCAGGCTGGCCTGGAACTCACAAAGATATGCCTGCCTCTGCCTCCTAAGTGCTGGGACTAAAGGCGTGCACCACCAGTGCCCAGCCATGCTTTTGGTTTTGAAGGAGTAAATTTATTAAGTATGTAGCAATAAGTAATAAAAAAAAAATCAAACAGCAAAACTACAGTGAACATTAGATTAGATGCAACACCCAGCAGAAACTGACTACAGCATGAACACTCAACATCCAGCAGAAACGCTCCTACAACCAAAACAGAGTGTGTGCAGGAGGTCTGGTAAATGTTCTCCTGGGTGAGACTTGTAATTAGCCATCCACCACAGGAATTTTTGTGTTTGTGTCAAGGGATGAACAGTAACAGAGTCTTACTTTGGGAAGGTGCCTGGAAATGATTTACATCCTAGCTGTGTTCAAGGCCATGGGGTTTTTAGTCTAACAAGCTGTTCTCCTGTTCTCATGGAATATTTGCTCTTGGGCTGGTTTCTATTCTCCTTTATGTTTCTCACAGGCCTGGGTAGACAAGGGGTATTTGAGGACATGCTGACATAGACATGCTTGGGTCTGAAATGGGACGGAGGCAACCCAGCCTGCAGAGCCAGCTTCTCAATGGGTTAAACAGCACCAAACAATTCACTAATTTTTACAAATTAATTACTATGTGCTTTTTTACAATTTACTAATATATATTACAAATATTCAGGGTTGAGAAAAGCACTGGTTTTTCACTTAAGACATGGTTCAGGAAACCAGCAGTGGTTTCAGGTTGTCAAGGTGGGAACCCCAAACTAGAACTTGGTTCCACTCACCAGGATTATGATATGATTCTTCAGAAATCCAGAAAAAAGAACGGACAAATGAGAGGGGGAAAGAGAGAGAGAGGTAGAGAGAGGGAGAGACCCTATCCAGCTAATCCCAGACCTAAAGAAGGTCCCTGCCATGCTTATCCAAGTGTTCACAGTCCCGCTTCTGGAAAATGCACCTTCTCAGGTCACATGCGCCCGGCATTCTCTGTGTTGATGAAAAGATGAGACTATAGACACAGAAGCAAGCTCGCCACTGTGATCTCGTTCAGAATTGTTCTAAAGCACTCATTATTGTTGGCGGCTGGAGCACCTGCACTGGTACTTGTGTCCTCACTCTGCACTTAGACAGTGCATCCATTAAGTTACCAATGTGGGTGTCTGCTCAAGTACAAACCAAGGATAAGACAAACGTGTGGGGAAATGGGGAATTCAGGAGTCCCTCTGCAGCTGCCACCATTGGTGGGAGCGAACTGCACTGATCATGTTCCTTAAAGACATCCTCTCTTCCCCTTAAGGCAAGGAGATTAAGGCAGGGAAAGGACCTGTGTGGTAGTGCACACCTTTAATTCCAGCACTCAGGGGCCAGAGGCAGGCTGGTCTACTGGTCTACAAAGCAAGTTTCGGAACAGCCAGGGATTCACAGAGAAACCCTGTCTCTTGGGGGGTGGGGGTGGACGTTGAGAGAGTCTGGATTCTGACACATGACCACTCTGGGTGGCAGCCCTGGCCTTTGGGAGTATGCTCTCATTTGTTTTTGTAAAGAGCAATTTCTCGCCCCAGATGGTCCATAGAGAGTGTCCCAGTGCTGAGATCCAGACAGATGTCAGCTTTCTTCCCTGGTTCTATTTGTTCCTTAAAGTTTTGCCCAGGAAGTACCTTTAGTGGGAAACCATGACAACGACTCTTTGTTTTAGAAAAGGGCCAGCCCTACATTGCTGCTCCAGCATCTGAGGTAGTGGGGGCATTGGAATATCAACAGAGACACTTAATTTAAAAGGACACAACAGAAGAAAAGAGGCAGGAAAGACAGAGCAGGAGCAGTGAACACAGACTGCCAACCCCAGTGTAGACACAGCACAAGGGGCTTGCTCCCTGTAAAGGAAGGAATTCCTGTGGGTTAAGAGGTCCACATATTAATGTCTCTGTCTGTAGCTGGCAGCCAGGGAACCTGGTCAATAGCCTTGCCAGCTCCAAATACCAAGACTGGCCATGGTGACAATGGAGAGATCTGTGGGGCTCTCACTAACCTCCCATAGTAAGGACACTAGAAGGCAAATATTAAGGGAACTAGTAAGGGTACATGGGGATGAACTTTGTCTTGTTTTCAGAGACATCAGGCAGCTATGAAAATCCCCTGCATGTAGTTGTTAGAAATGAAGCCAGGCTAGTGGCACACATCTATAATTCCAGCACCTGGAAGGCTAAGTCTGAAGGATGGCCAAATCAAGGCTAGCCTGAATTGCATAGCAAGACTCTGTCCCAAACCAAATTAGTTGGCAGAGTCTAACAGTTCTTAACCTGTGTCTTTTCTTTGCCTTCAGGTTCATATTGGCCAACTGTATTCGACTGACAAACTTATCATTGAGAATCAAGAGAAGCCCAGGACATAGGAGTCCAGCACTAGGAAACCGTGTCCAGCAGCAGAACTGACCGCCTTCAGCATCCATTCTGTATGCTGTGGAACCTCCCAGTGCTGGCTGAACAGAGCCTCTTCCTCTTCCTGCCTTATAGGAGCTGATAAACTGGGTCACATTTGCATTCTGGCACAGCCATGATGTGAAGAAATGGCTGTGTATCCTCAATCCAAGTGTTAGAATGAAGAGCTAGAGGTCACTCACAATAATGCCATGTGTTATTGTGACTCCTCTCCATCCCACCCATCTTAAAGATCACCCATGTGTAGAGCTTTTGCAGACTTTGTGTCTTAGTCCTTAAAAATAAACAGAATTATCTCCCTATCCTTTTGTACCAAATAAACCTATTACAATGAATGTTCATTTATTTCCTGACAAGATAGGAACTGTAGAAGAACTGTAGAAGTGGGAACCCAGAAGGAAGATTCCCACCATCGTCTGAAGATTGTCTTTGTGAAGGCAACTTCAGGCACCAGTTAAGACGCGGGCAATAAGGACATGAACCAAGATGAATCCAAGGTGCAACCCCACCACTCAAATCTATGAGCTCAAAGTCCCAAGTCCCTTTACAACCTATGTACATTGGAATCTTAGTCCTTGCAATCCTCAGGGGAAGCTGTACACACTGAAGTCCAGGAAGTACCATGTGTAGTCCAGTGGCCCAGATTTGATTATCACCAGGGACACGGGATGCTCTATGAGTACATATTATCTCTTCTGTTTAGCACCTTTCAATCACCAGGGAATGAAATGCCCAGAGATTAAAATGTTTAAAATACAGTTCTTGGGGCTTGAGAGATGGTTCAGCCCTTAAGAGTACATTTTAATCTTGTAGAGGACCCAGGCTCTATTCCCAGTACTGGCATGGTGGCTGCCAACCATCTGTAACCCAAGTTCCAGGGATCTGATGGCCTCATTGTGCTGCTGTAGTCAGTCACCAGCTATTCACATGGTGTATATACATACATACAGGCAAAATACTCATAAAAATTAAACCTTAAAATTATTTCTTTTAAATAAAATAACAGTTCTCTGGTGACTCTGAAGATCAGCCAGTCAGCAATGGCCACTGCCTTTGAGCCTCTCCCAGGTATTAAAAATGTCATATCTTGTAGAAATCCATTCCTTCCAAACATAAGGCACATACCACATAATTTTCTTAACTTCTGGGGTGTTTCTAGGGACCTATCCCAATGGAAGAATTTCCAGTGAATCTCTGGATTTATGTCAGAGTTGGAACAGGCATGTAAGTAGTGCAGATACTACAGTAGCTAGACAGAGTGTCATTAATTCTTGTAGCATTCATGTGAATTGAGTACAAGTAGTCTGTCACCTTACCTTAAATGTCATGAAAGTGGGGTTAGGCATGTGAGTCCACCTACAGTAAAGTACTTGCCACACAAGCCTAAGGACATGAGTTCACATTCCCAGCACCCATTTAAAAAGCTGGGCACACCAGCATGGTAATGCTGGAGCTGGAGGAACAGACAGGAAAATCCTAAGAGCTCACTGGCCAGCCAGTCTAGCCAAATTAGTGAAAAGTAATTGAGGAAGACACCCACTGACATTGACCTCTGGCCTCCACATGCATCCACACACGTATATGTACCCACATGGATATATTTACATGCATGCACTATACATGAGTGAGCCAGATGTTGCACATCTGTACAGGAGCCCTGAGTTTGGGGCTAGTTTTGGCTACATAAAAATTCTAAGTGAGCACAACTACATAGATCCTGTCACAGGTGATCACCCTGGTATCTGCAATACAAATTTTGTCATGGTGAAGTGCACAGATATTCTGTTTTGCAGTACATCATTCTTTAAATTTTTTTTAAAAACTAGTGTACAAATTAAGGGGTTTTAGTGTTCTATTGCTGTGAAGAGACCATCATCACAACAACTTTTGGGAGGGTAGGGGGGCGGTTTCCAAAACAGGTTTTATTTGTGTAGCCCTGTCTGTCCTGGAACTCATTCTGTAGATCAAACTCAGAGATCTGCCTACCTCTGGCTCCTGAGTGCTGGGATTAAAGGCTACACAGCAACTCTTGGCAAGGAAAGCATTTAAATGGGACTTGCCTACAGTTCCAGAGGTGTAGTTCATTGTTATCATGGTGGAGATCATGGTGATGGAAAAGTAACTAAGAATCCTACATCTGGATCCACAGGCAACAGAAGAGAGAAACACCGATACTGGCTTGGACATTTGAAACCCCAAAGTGCACCCCCAGAGTGACATGCTTCCTCCAACAAGGACACACCTAAACCTCTCAAGTAGTGCTACTTCCTGATGACCTAATTCAGTCAATAATGTATATGAGCCTTTGGGGACTGTTGTTACCCAGACCACCACAGGTTTCAGTATGGAATTTTCATTGTTCTCATTCACCCAGTTGTGCAGCTCTTGATCTCAGAATTAAGTCTGGTACACCTGTAAGAGTAGTGAAGACCACTCTCATACTACAGGTTCCACTCCTGGGAGCTGAGGTGGTCAAGAAGCAGGGCATTCAGCCTGGGTGAACAAACGTGATATGGGTGGTGTGTTCTCGCGTTTCAGCTGACTTATGGAGCAGTGTCACCCAGTGCTGGTGGAGGTGGTACTTGCTGTTTACACTGAGCATCGATAAAATATGTGGCCACTCATTATCTAACAGCAATGACAATGATCTCAATTTAAGCTGTATTGTGCAACCTAAGTCATCTCCCTGAAAGTGTCACATTGCAAGCAGAATGACAGCTCCATTGGAGATGCCCCCACAGCATCGTTTCCACAGACAGTCCTGGAGTAAACTTGACTTGTTCTGCAAACTGTTAACAGCTGGCTGCTTTTGTGTTAATTAAACCTCATAGAAGGGTTTGGACATGCCCAAGGCTTGATAATACAGAGATAATTCTTCTAACTTAGATCAAATTAACTCTGTACTGGGGACCTGCACAAAAAAAAAAAAAAAAAAAAAAAAAAGTCAAATCAAGGTAGAAAAGCCCACAAACAGGAGTTGGCTGAGCAGAGCTGCACATTGGCTGTTCCCTAAAATGCAGAGGACTTCAACTAGATTCTAGGGCTTCAGAGGAAGTGGCATCTAACTGATGTTTGTATAATGCAGCCACCTGCCTGCCTGAGAGCCCCAGCTATACTGCTTGGACCAATGTGATGGAGAAACTGTACCACTTGTCCAGGCCATCTCAACTTTCCCAGAGTATGCCACTGCACTGAAGGTACCAGGGCTCTCTCAGTGTCAGCAGCTACAGATGAAAAATGCCACCAAAAGTTCACCTCTCCACAGGCAAAACCATTCACCAAACAGCCATTTCCTGGACCTGCAGATGGCACTGGGTGGACCAATCTGGTTCTCTAACTCTGATTCTAGGGCAATGGTATGTAGACAGGTGTGAATGTATGTTGCAAATACAATCCATTTTTATGTAAGAAATGAGCATTGTAGAATCCAATCTCCATGGGGGCTCCTGGAACCAGTCCCCTGCAGTTATTAAGGAACAGTTGTATTTCATACTAATTACTGTTGTCTTCTAGATTAGAGAGCATCTTAGGTATTGGGGCCAGACTATAAAAACAAAAAAAAAGCCAAAGAGAAGATAACCCCCCCCCAAAAGCAAAAGGTTGAGGTGTCTTAGACTCGGGATAATTCTCTGAATTTGGGAGCTCCTTTTTCAAGGGAGTTAACTCATAGCCAAAAAGGCCATTGAGAATTATTACCTGAACCCAGATGACCCCACACACTGGCAATGAATGCTGGGGTCCTGGGTAAGTGCTCTGCTACTGAAGCATAGTCCAGCCCCATGTGATCAAACCTTGACAAGACAACCATAAGCTCTGTTTGAGGGAAATCTGATTATCTTCTTGTGCCAACCATCAAAGTACAAGTCAGAAGCCATGTCCAGAAGCTGGGTCATTGTAAGAAGCACGTCTGGTAAGGTTACATGATGAAGTTGGCAAAGCTCATTCAGATGGACATTATTTAAAACAAGAGGGGCTGCCAACAGGAAGCCATCTACACACCCTGTGTCCATATGCCTCACTGCTAACCAAGCATTTGCCCATTGTTATAAAATGGAATTGTAGTGAAGACTGCTTGACAAGAGAGCCGACCTCTCACCCTCCCCCTCTGAATATATACCTAGAATATACATGGACATTGGCTCGCCTACCTCTGAAAACAATAAGATCTTCCTTTTTCAATCTTTTCAGTATTATTAGTCCTTCAGGGAGCCATTGATAAAAAATTGCTTCTTGATTTGATTTGGGACTCAGTTTCAAGACCAAAGACCCTTCAGAGGGAACCTGAAGGAAAATATTCAATGATGAATTTGCCTGTTCCTTACCTAAGGGGACAGTTGCCACCACTGTGCCAACAGTAGTCAGTGTCTCAGTCTTGAAATTGGCTCACATGAATTGTCAACACAAATAGACCTGGGATTTCACATGTTGGAGTTTTTGCAATCAGGTGATCTCAACTGAACATGTCCATAGTGAACACAGTATGGCCCATGTGGGTTACCAGGCATCTGCCTGCACTTCCCTGGGGAATCAAGGCTTCCAGGAACAACTGTTGCACAGGAAATAGCTTCCATGAAAGATCTGTATCTTCTTACAAGGATTCTAAGCTTTCTCAGAAACTGCCCATAATCAGCTCATCATCCAAAAAGTTACTTTATTTACTTTGTCTCTTAAATGTCTGACATATTCTTAAAGCATTTCACTAGAACTTCCTATCTGTTATCTAGGGAACCCACGTGACCTCACTTAAGATTAATGTCAATATAATCAGCTCTTTAGTTTGGAAGAGTTAATGCACATCTCATTTGTGTACATCTAATATGCAGGACATTCAGGACATATATGTGATCAGGAACTATAATGGAAAAGGTAGGCATATGATCAATAGTTGCTAATGTATTACTCTGTTGAGATTCAAATGTAATGTATTTCATCAGGTGTCCCTGCCAGAGGGAGCCTGACTGAAATGTTGGTGAGACTAGACAACTGACGTAAAGCACCAATGACCAAGTACTAGACTGGCTGTGAGAGCAAGGGAATGGTGTAGACTGGAAAGAACTCACAGAGACCTCTGTGTCTTGGTGATGCCCAGGAAGGTGTTTGATCAGTGCACACTGCAAACATCCATCAGAGGTCTATGGGCAGGCATAAGGCTTGATATGCCCTGAAGCAGAGGCATATCCCAAATCCAGGTTCTCGGAACTTCATTAATAATGACAAGTTATACAAAATCCCCCATTTGTGGGCAGTCTGGCCTAGAAAAGCCATCCATCTCTTTCTTTTCAGCCCTGTTTCTGTCAGCCAAAGGGTCTCTGAACTCAATAAATTGGAGCTAAACATCACAGCTAAACCCTGTAGGGTTCCTGTAAGACTTTAAAATGTGTAGCACAAAGTTCTTCCCAGAGTTTGACAGGGAGCAAGGATATGATAACTACTAACTTCCTTATGGGGAACATTCAAGAAACCTTCAAGGATCCAGACAGGGACTGACATAGTCCTTCCCTAAATTACAATACATTTGATCCCAAATGCTGGGATTAAAGCATGCATCACCACACATGGCCATTAAAAACTTTTAAATTATTAATATATAAACAACTATTTTAAGGTAATTCTAAGTACACTTAAGACCTGCAGAGGCTAATCTTGTCAGCTTGGTAGGATCTGGAATCAACTATGAGACATGCCTCTGGACAGATCTGTGAGCACATTTCCAGAAAGGACTAAGGGACAAGACCATCCTTGGATGAAGCAGCACCTTCTGATGAGTAGCCCAGACACTAAGAGACCCAAGGGGACAGCAATGTTAATGCCCGCCTCTACAAAGTGTCCATCTCTGTTGTTGACTGTGTTATTGTTGACCGTGTCTATGGTTGCTGATGTTGACTGTGTCTATCCCTGTTGCTGTTATTGACTGTGTCTATCCCTGTTGCTATTGTGGACTGTGCCTTTCCCTGTTGTTGCTGTTGACTGTGTCTATTCCTGTTGTTGCTGCTGTCATCCTTTGCTAGAACCAACTTCAGCTTCTTAGGCTTTCCAATATAAAGTGAAGACCAGTAACTCTCCAGGAATCTTCCAGGCCTTCAGCATGAAATTGCTACTGCTGAGGCATCAAGTCTTGTGAGCTGAGGAGCAACTGAGTTCTCAGCCTCTCTGGGATGCACATGAGCATTCATTATTTAATTGCCCAGCTCCTGAAGGGGGAGCCGCTTTTTGTAACATGTATGTGCTAATTAGTTCTATTCCCCTAAAGAGCCCTGCCCAACAATAGCCTACCTATCTGTGACTAGGCATGCAGAGAGCCCTTGACTAAACTTCATATAACTATCATGCAGATATTTTACAGTGAAATGGTTTGGTAGGTGAAGGCTCTTGTCACTTGTTAATTGAGTTCAAATCCCTGGGACCCACATGGTGAAAGGAAAGAAAGGACTCCTACTATATTATACACACACACACACACACACACAGAGAGAGAGAGAGAGAGAGAGAGAGAGAGAGAGAGAGAGAGAGAGAGAGAGATGTATAAAAGAAAAAAGTTTACAGAGTTAAATGCATGGATGGTCAATGCATACAAAATGACTACCAAGAGTCCTCTTTTATACAATATGCATTGTGTATGAACTTTCAATGTAAAATTAGACAATAGAAATCTTCCAACTGCTACTTATAATCAGTGCTGTCAGGTGAAAGTTTTCCATTTGGGCAGTCCTGTATAAAACCTGTTCTATAACCACTTTCCTGGATCAAAGAGGCATTTTCTTACTGTACATATGAGACATACTTGTACATCAGAAAAATGAGTATTCTAAATCTAAGGTCAAATGTAGAAGCTAGATGAACATATAAAGAAATTGCATATAGCTATGATGCCAAAATGCAAAGTGTAGAACTCTTTACCAAGCTAGTGTCCTCCCAGCCGTAACTGTTAACCTTTCCCAGGTTGCTCTGTAGCCAGAGAAAACCAGGTTACTAAAGTGAGCTCACCTTGTCTCCTCCCTGCCCCAGACCTGTATCCCCAATGACTTCAAACAGCTGCACATCCCTGATCCTGTGACCCCCCAACAGATCACATACATCTTGGGGACTTTCCAGGCAAAGGCTATGGCTACCAATATCTCATCACCATTTGCCAGCTTATTATGGACCAAGTGCTCTCTCTCTACCCTACATAACCTGGATCCTGTAGCCCATGCCAGAAATGCACACTTGATTCAGTTCCATGATGCCACAGAAAGCAGAACATCTAATTCCCGCCCTGAGTTGTTCTGCCACTGCTGATAAAGAAGATGTGATGCAGGCATGGTAAGCCAGGGGCTTCAAGGCACAAGGGCTCAAAAGGCATGTACAGCTAAGTCAGGACAACCCTTAGCCTAATATATTAGACAAAAGCTGTGTGGCTAGAGCTGGAATTGGTGAAACCCATGAAATGGTGTATGAAAATCCTATAGCTCAGGAGAAAAGGAAGGGTGAAGCAGATGGAGAGACATCAGAATGGAAACCTACACATGCACACATGTACAGAGAGAGAGAAAGAGAAAGAGAATGGATGAGAAAAATCATGGAGGTGTGTGGGTAGTAAGATTCCTACGTGCTCAGGGTATTCTGAACAGTGACCTTCCCTGCTGTCCCGTGGGCTTCCAGAGTGCAGTGTCCAGTACCCACATGATGTCTCACAAACATCTGTAACTCTGGTTCTGGGGATCCCATGCCCTCTTCTGGCTTCTGAGGGCACCAGGTACACAGGTGCACATATGCAAACCACCCATACCCATAATAAATAAATACTTAAAGTATTTCTTATAGGCTAAAAAAAAAATAGCTCAGTATTAGAGATACTGACCTGCTAGCCTATAAACCTAATATGTATGAAACCCTTGGTTCAAAATAAAACAACAAAAACTGTGTTTCATCCCAGAAACAACAAATAGGTTTGCTTTTTTGTTTGTATTTTCAGATAGGATCTCTCTGTGGTGACTCCCTGGGTTTTCTGAAACTCACTTTGTAGACCAGACTGGCCTAGAACTCACAGAGATCCATCTGCTTCCAAAGTGCTGGGGTTATAGTGTGTCACCATGTATGCTATTTTAAGTGGCAATAGTCACTAAATGGTTACTGTTTGTGAATTATAATTCTCGGCATGAAGCTTTAAAAATAGTAAGGAGGGTCAGAGAGTAAATATTTTATACTTTGCATCTAATTAACTCTGCTGTTTGTGCAGAAGAACATCCATAGAATGAATCCATGGCTCTGTTCCAGTAAATATCTATGGATGGTAAAGTTTGAATCCCATATAATCCTTTGTTGGTTAGGTTGGTTTTGTTTTTAATACAGATCCCATTCTGCTGACCTCCAAAAAGCTGTGATCATCCCATTTAAGCTTCCAGGGTCCTGGGATCTCAGGGATGAGCCTTACTCAGCCTTGGTTTTGTTTGATATAATCTTTTTAGGCCACCAAGGCTGGCCTCATATTCTTGGTAATCCTGCTTTAGCCTCCTAAATGCTGAGGTTACAGGTGTGTGCCATTATATCTTCCTTTACTATATTTTTCATGTCACAAAATAATAATTCTTTAAAATTAAAACTTTAAGCATGTGAAAAATCATTTATAGGTCTCTGGTTCCATGGAAACAGACTTTGTTGTCTATGTTTGGTCTTTGGTGATCGTAGAACCATGAAAACATTCCCCCTTAAATTTAGTCTACTATCCCCAAAATAATTACACTAGTCACAAGGTGGAAAATAAGGAACTGGAGAAAGAGGAGAAATAAGCCACCTGTCCAACCCCCAAACCCCTGTACCTGGAGAGCAGCCTGCAAGAGCCAGCTTCTCTGACTGCTAATGGCACAGAGTGGGACAGCTACTACAAGCTCTACTGCACAAAAGGGTTTAAGATGAATGTGATGGGTTCTTGCAGCTCACAGCCAAGCCCTTTGGCATTTTAATTTGTCCAACATTTTACTATGGCAAGAGACAAAACATTTTTTGTACATTTTTTTTTCAGGGACATGGTTTCTCTGTATTGCTTTGGAGCCTGTCCTGGAACTAGCTCTGCAGACCAGGCTGGCCTCAACTCACAAAGACCCGCCTGCCTCTGCCTCCCAAGTGCTGGGATTAAAGCCATGTGCCACCAATGCCCGGCCAACTTTTTGTACATTTTTCAGATCACTTTTTCCCAGTGGGGGATGCTGGGCTCTTCCACATCAAGAGAAAACATGTCAGTACTGTTGTTTCATACTTGTCACGGTGCCCGTGTCATCAGCTGAGCATCCCGTAATTGCCAAGGCCTCCCCAAACCCAAACCCTCAGAAGGTAAAACATGAAGCACAGAGGGAAATTATGTGCACATGGCCTTTACTTTTTAAAAGGACATTTGTATCCATTCATAGAAGAAAATGGTGTTGTGTCTGGGCGAACATTTCCAGATCCCAGTTAAAAGGGAGAGGCTGATAGCACCGCCGAGCCTCCTGAGAACCAAGCCTGGTTGTGAAGCTTCCACGAGTGAAGGGCTTCCTTTCCCACGTGGAAGCATGCTTTCACCAAGCTGTAAGGACCATATCTCACGTTAGAAACAAACCCCCAAGGTCACAAGGACAGGGTTCCAGAACCATTTTCTTGAAGACAGCCTCTGTTTGGGGGACTGGGGTGTTCTTTATTCCATTGCAGGCTGGGAGTTCTAGAAGGCAAGTAAAAAGGTGGGTCGAAACCGCTTTCAGAGCATTGTCAGACCCACTGTGCTTGCTGGTGCGTGGATCTGCACTGCGAGTTTGTGGTTTATGCTTCGATCCTTTCTCTCCAAGCTCGGTAAATGCCAAATCTGCGATGCTCAGCTAAGATTCCCTTGATGGAACTTCGCGTGCTGGTCAGCCACTCTCCATATCTCAAAGCTCCTGGTCTCAGAGAGGGTCTGCGGAGCGCACATAGCGCAAGGTGTAGTTGGCCCCCTCGTTATTATCCCAGTATTCGCCCTGTTCGCAGCGGTAGCAGACAGCAAAATGGATCGCGACATCCCACGGGTCTGCACCCGCGCCTTCTTTGGGCTGCAGACCTGGGGGCAGGCACAACGAGAAGCAGAAGCGCTCGGTCGCCAGCTGCTCCTTACTATCCCCAGCACCTGGTCCAGAATGCTCGAACCTCACAGGAGGCCCCTGCTCCAGTGACTCAGGATGCAGCTCGGCCGATACGTCCAGAAAGGTGCGCCACTCCGTAAAGGTGTAGCGCACCGCCACTGCTCTGGGTCCCGGGCAGCTGATCACCCGGCCTGAGCCGGTCACCTCCGCACTGGGCGGTTGGGAACATTGCACGCACTCCAGACACACTCGCTGTCGCCTCAGACGCTCTTCCGCAACGCTCAGCCCCGGGAGCTGGAAGAGGGGTCGGAGCTGGGCACGCGGTGGCCAGAGGGGAACCGGCACTTTTGCCACCGCCAGCAGCCCCCCTACCTGTTTCAAGTCCTCGGCACTCAGCGGGAAGCTGTGGAGCCGGGAGAGCACGGCAGGCGGCACCTGCGGTTCCTCCGCGTCGCTAAAGTGCTTCACGCTGGCCAAGCTTAGCCCCAGAGAGTCCGCGAACTGCACGCGCTTCTTGCACTTGGAGCAGCAGTCCCGGGACAGCTTGCCACCCTCCGCGCCAGGCTGCCCAGCCAGCTGCCGCTGTTGCAGGAGTTTAGCGACCTGCAGGATGGGGTCCGCCGGCAAAGAGAAGGAGCGCGCTCGAGGGCGGCGATATTCCTGCAGCTCCTCCAGCTCCGGGAGAACCGCCTCTTCCTGCTGTGACAGGGGCCTGTCCTCGAGCTGAGCGTCAGGGGTCCTGGTGTCCGAGATGCCACCCTCTACGCCAAGGACCTCAGGAACCGACAACCCCTTCACCGGCGGAGGGTCTCCGGAAGGCGTAGAGCTGGACGCCTCGGAACTTTGCATCTGCTCCCGGGATGGCTCCATGACACCATTCGACCCCGCGACTCGTCTGGCAGCAAACGCCTCGCTGGAGACTTAGCGGGAAACGTGTCTTCTCCGGCAGCAGAACGAGAGCATAGCGCCCGCTGGGCTCGCCCTCCCTGGCTCAGTCTAGCCAGGCTGGAGAGATGAGAGCAGATTTCAGCCTGGAGCCTCCAGCTTTTAGCTGAGGCTGCCCGGGACCCAGAGGGAGGAGGATGCTGGCCTGGGGCTAGATCCCAAGGGGAGGGCCAGGGGCGGGGAGGTGCGGCCTCCACAACACCTGGTAACCAAGTCCCGAATGGAAATTAAAACTTTCTGAAGGTCGTGGGGTAGCTGATAGCCACCTCCGGGGCAGTTCGCAGTTTTCAGAGCCAGAGCGTAGACAAAGTTTTCCAGAAGTTAGTCATCCGGAGAAATGTTGTCGCCCCGCGGTGACATGCCAGCTGCCACCCACCTAGGGAGTTCGCAATGCAAGCATGTCATTGAGGCTAGCATGCTAGCCCAGTGCATCCCTTTCTTTCATCCTTTCTCTCCCAAACTCCAGGCATCCCCGGGTCGCATTCGTGAAGTTGCCCCTTAGTATTCCTGAAAGCTGGGATGCTTGGGCTGCAGCTTCCACCTACCTAACCGGTGACCTTGCTGGTGGGCTTGCTACCGGACAGAGAGAGGACCCACCGAGAGTGGACACGGGGACCAGCCCAGAGCAGCCGGAGGCCATTCTCTCCTGACACTAGAGCACGTCGCCCCCCCCCCATCCTCCCCTTGTCCCGCCCGCAGATCTGGATGGCGAGGAAGAGGGCTGGCACCTCCCTCCGCGGATGGACGCCTTCCCACATCCTCCTTGCCTGCTGGTACTGTGGCCCTTCTCCCTCTCCCCTCCCCCAGAGAATCCCAAACAACTACAATACAGTGCAGGCTTTTCGGGGCTGAGGCCAAAGCCCAAATACTGAAAGATGGATAGGAGAGCCCTCTACTCTGTCCTGGCATTGAAAGTGTTGTATTGTTCTTTTGCCTTCAGGCCAATTTGCCTTGATCAAACTTCAAATGATAATACTACAAACAATCATCACGCCCACCTCTCATCCCCCACATCCCTATATCTGGTTATGTACAGTTACTTACATTAAAAAAAAAAAAAAAAAAAAAAAACTGGGCCAGGCAACTGTGGCACATGCCTTTAATCCCAGCACTTGGGAGGCAGAGGCAGGTAGATTTCTGAGTTCAAGGCCAGCCTGTTCTACAGATCTAGGTTTGGGATAGCCAAAGCTACACAGACTGTCTGGAAAAACAAACAAACAAACAAAAACAGAATAACAACGTTGGGGGGGGGTCTAGAAACATTGATCCACTAATCAAGAAACAAAAGGCAAAGCTATCTTACCCAGGCTTTATAACTGAGACTTACTTCCTAAACATGGAATGGCAGAATTTAATGTTCCCAGGGCTTTGGGCATATTGGGAAATAGGCAAGGACTATATTCATGGTTAGTATCTATTGAGGGCTCATAGGCTGCCTATCCCTCCTGAGGGTTCACAGGCTGTCCATCCCTCCCCAGGGCCGAGGGTTCTTCCTGTGTGAGCTTATGTGCAGAAACTCTGTGTAATGGGAACCATAGTGCTCTGGGTTACATGAAACTGATCCAGTCAAAAAGAGAAATAGAGTCAAATACTGGTGGCTCCCCCCTTTAATCCTACTAAGGAGCTGGAGACAGGAGTGATATAGCTGGTGGAGAAAAGAATATAGAGCAGGGCAGTCAGTCTGAGGATTCTTCTGGACAGGATCACTCCTTCGATCTGAGAATTCAATAGAGGCAAGAGGCCATTCTTGTGGCTGATTCCTTTCTTCTTCTCTGACCTTACAGCATTTACCCCAAGATGTGACTCCAGGCTTTTATTATTAAGACCTATTAGAACTCATGTTACAGAGAAATCATAAAGCAAATATTTTGGCAAACTTCTGCAAATGATCAAAGGCCAAAGCTAAAAATATGAATAAAGGACATTGTAATTGAAGGTCTAATAGGCACAAGGGCAGATGTAACAGTAAATGTACCAGAATCTTCGCATCTAAATTGGCCTCTTCAGGAGGTAAATGTTCAGCTTTTAGGGACTGGAACTCTATCTTAGGTAAAACAAAGCATGGGTTGAACGTATAGAGCCAGAAGGACAGAGAGGAAAATTAAAGCCATATATAGCTAATATAGCAATGAATTTATGGGGACATGATTTGTTCCAGCAATGGAACAAATCTTAGAAACAAATCATAAATTAACGTAGTGTCTGAGGAAAATATTAAAAGGTATTATAAACAAGAGTCACTGACCATTCAGGTTGTACAAGGACAGGGCACAACATCTGCTGGTCTTTCAAAGTTATCAACAGCCCTACCTTTAAAATGGGTAACTAACAAACATGTCTGGCTAGAACTATGGCCTTTGACATCAGAAAAATTACAGGCCTTGGAACAGCTGTACAAGAGAAGTCAAATGCTCAACATATTGAAGAATTGACCAGTCCTTGGAGTTCTCCTGTACTTGTTATTAGAAAGAAATCTGGAAAATGGAGACTGTTAACAGCTTTGAGAGCCATAATTAAAGTAATTCAACCAATGGGTTCTTTACAGCTTAGAATTCCTCTGCCTTCTCTATTACCTAAAGGATGGTCTATTATAAATATTGATTTGAAAGACAGGTTCTTCTCTATATCTTTACAAGAAAAGGAGAGAAAATAATTGCCTTCACAGTGCCTACTTAAATTAATTCCCAGCCTGTTAAGAGATATTAGTGGAAGATTCTCCTACAAGGGATGTTAATCTAATCTTGTGCCAATATTTTGTACAACAACTTTTGGAAATGATTCATGTACAGGTCCTCAATCTATAATTTACCATTATATGGATACTATCTTATTAACTGATTCAAATGTAGACACTTTAGAGAAAAAATTCAAGAAAGAAAGAAATATTTGTCTTGTTAAGGATTTTAAAATGCTCCTTAAAAAATGTAAAGAGGAGATTCTATTAATTACCTATGATGTAAATTGGGTTTACCAAAAATTCAACCCCAGAAGATACAAATCAGGAGAGATCAACTTCAGACTCTTAATGACTTTCAAAAATTGCTCAGAGAAATTAACTGGTTATGACCCACAATTATGTTGACAACTAAAGAACAAAGTAATATATTTCAAACTTTGAAAGGTGAAAAGGATTATCAGCCAAAGATGACAGAGAATTGACTTTGATAGAGAAGAAATTACAGGATGCCCACATGGATTGTTTGGATCTAGAACTAGATTGTATTCTGCTTATTTTACCTTCTGCACATTACCCTACAGGAATTTTAATGCAGAGATAACATCTTAGAATAGATATTTTACCACACAAATAGTGTAAAAACTTAAAAGACCTGCATAGAAAAGGTTTCTGAGAGAAAAATTTGCCTTCTAAAAGGAAATTTGAGACTTCATCAGAAATTGTGGTACATTTTACTAATGCTGAAATGGGCAGAAAATGAACATTGTAAAAGAGCTTGCAGTAATTTTTTTTTGGGGGGGGAAGAGATTAACAACAAATATCCCAAAAGCAAGAGAATTCAGTTTGTAAAGAGAACTAATTGAATTCTTCCTCATATTGTAAGGAGAAACACCAATTTCTGGAGCCCCTACATTCTATACTGATGTAAACATATCAGGAAAGGCAAGTTATCAGTCAAGAAATTTGTGCAAAATGGCTCAAAGCCCTTATGATTCTGTTCAAAAGTCAGAATTATATGCTATTCTTATGGTATTATTTGATTTTACAGAACTTCTGAATATAGTAATTGACTCTCATATGCAGAAAGAGTTGCTTTATATTTTGAAACTGCTGAATTTATTCCGGTTGAAACAAAATTGATTTTATTATTTGTTCAATTATCAGTCCAAGGAAATTATAGGGAAATGTCCTACTTGTTCGTTGTACAACCAAACTCTACTACCACAGGAGGTAACTCAAAGGGTACTGAAAGAAGTGGATTTTGGCAAATGTTTCATTTTACAGAATTTGGAAAATTTTTTAAAAAATGACTCTAGTAAAATGAAATTCTTTTGCAAATTACAACATTAAAATATATTAGAGGTATACCACACAATCCTAAAAGTCAAGCAGTTATAGAAAGATCTAACTGAACTCTAAAAGATATGCTTAATAAACAGAAAGGACTAATAAAATAGTAGATTTCATAATGCTTTATTAACTTTAAATTTTCTAAATTCTAATGACAAAGGAACAACAGCTGTGGAAAGACGTTGGATAATTTGGGGAGGGGAGCTGAGTTAAATCAGTGTGTACACTTTAAAGATGTGTTGACCTCAGAATGGAATCCAGCATATGTGTTATGTTGGGGAAGAGGTTTTGCTTTTGTTTCCACAGCAGAAAAAAAGCTATGGATGCCATCAAAATTGAAAAAGATTAGATCTGAACAAGAGAGACCTCTTAAGTTCATTAGTGTGACCATTCAATCTAAACTAACTTAAAGACTGGCCAATGCTTTTCATTTGATGAGATATAACTTGCCAAAAGTGAAACTCTCCAAATGTCACCTTCGTCACCACTATTGTCATCACCATCACCACTGTTGGCACTGGCCTTGGTAATTCCCCCAGAGTGTGATATAGGGGGTTTTATCTGAAATAAAAGCCTGAGAGACAGAAAGCCAGAGTTTATGCTGCAGTGCAGCTATGTTTGCAAGTTATATGCACTCTCTGAGCTGAAAGTCTTGGAATGAGTGACTGCTCGTGACGCTATGAACACGAAAACAAGAAATCTTGTGTAGATTGCTTCTCATGGAGCCCTGTGTGTTTTGCTGTACAGTAACTATTTATTACTATTACTTTTTAGCATAAAGCCTTTGTTAATTTAACACATTGTATGCCAACTATGCACAAGCAATAACCAAGAGAACCCACACACCCTCTCTCCCTCCTCTCCCTTCTCCTCTTTTTCACATCTAGTCTTGGCTTTG